GGTGCTGATGGTGTACTGTTGGCGGGTTTCTCTCCCGGGCAAATAACACGTCCCCGACGCAGACGCGGCGAAACAGCCCGGGACGAATCGCGGCGACGCTCCAGTGCTTGAACAGACTCAACAGCACTGGCTGCATTATCGCCCGCCACTCCATCACACTGCACCCGCGGCCGGGGCTAACGGTGGAGATACCGGAGGAGAATAAGGAGGAGCTTTGCGTCGAGCTTTTGACACTCATGCAGCAAAAGTCGGGTGGTAAGAAGACTGCGAGAGGCTCTGGCGAGCTGCTCTTATCGCGTGGCAATTTCATGGACGCGGGAAGCAGTGCCAATCGTATTGAATTGGAGAGGGAGGAGGCGTGCGTAGTCGCGGCCTCCAGAGGACGCGGGTCCGCCAAACTCATCCTGTTCCCGTCCGCCACACGTCCGCGCAGCTCTCAAGCCTCCGGGAATATGTTAGCGGACGTCCACCCGTTGTGTGCGCCATGGCCAATAGAAGAGGAAGAGGAGCTGGACAACGACGACAAGGACCCGAAACCACGGGTGAATCCGTTGGGTGCATCAGAGGAGGCGCCAACCGACATAGCAAGTCCCTCAGTAGTCGTTCCACCTCAAAAGCAAAAGGGCGTGGCCGATAAGGGACGAGCTGCTGGGGAAGTCAGGCCAAGGCGCGGGACGACGCACAGCGACAGTGTCAGTAGCGGTTCCGTGAAAAGGAGCGGGAAAAAGTCTTCGCGGGGCGGTTTCTTTTCCCGGATCTGCTGCACTTCATAAGAGAGTCATTTCCATCCACCGTTTATGTTTGTCTGTTTTGCTTTGTAATTGCTGTTTGCAAAATACGCCCATTTGTGCGGCGGTGTTCATTTTATATGTTTTTATGCGTGTGGTGCTTGTTTCTGCTGGGGTGGTGGGTCTTCCTTTTTTGATTGGTTTATTGTGCGCATATTTTTGTGATTTTGTGTGCCTGCCGCTGCGTGTAATTTGTGCGGCTTTTGTGCCTGGAAGGGATATAAATGGGACGGGGAGAGGAGTGGCACAGCGTTATTTTGTTGACCGCAAGCAGTATTTTCCGTTCCACTTGCACCATTTTACATGCAACGACATGCGTGGGAGCGTCGTGGTGGTGTGTGGGGCGTCACTCCGCGCCGTCTCGCTCTTTCTTCCTTTTTTTGTTCTGCCGCTTCTTTGGCCTTGTCGTACTCCATTCATTGGTGCTTTGTTGTTGCTCTTTTTTTCCCCTCCCTGCCTGTGTCTGCGTGTTTGCCCGTACCTGCGGTGGCACGGGGCCCACGGATAAGAGCGCGAAAGGGACGAAACACGACCAACGAGCCTCCGTGATGTTCTGCCCGGATCCGTACGGCGCAATGCGGCTGATGCAGTACAACATGCAGCGCCGGGCCGTTCAACAAATGGTTGCCGAGACGCAGCGGCAGATGATGCAACAGGGGTGCACGGTCCCGAATGAAATGCCGCCGTCGCCGGAGGGCTTTGGGAACATGGGCGGCCCAAACTCCGGATGGGGCCCGTGCCGGCAACGGGGCGGCAGCCTTGAGCCGACGCCGGCGGGTTATTTTGGCGGCTTCTCCCCGGCACCACAGTTCCTCCCCAACGATCTTGAGAATATGCGTATCCCGGAGGAGCGCTACGGAAACTACTGAGGAGCCGAGCGCCGAGACTCACAGGGGAGGAGGCGGCGCAGCGCCCCATGGTGTCTTCATTCCCCCAATTTTACGATGCGTTCCTGCCAAGCCACTCACCTGTTGCTTGCGTCTCTGTTTACGTCTGTTTCTTGCAGGTTTGTGCGTCTTCCGCATCGTTCCATCGTGTCTCTCTATGAGGGTAACAGTATGCAAGTTTATGTGTAACACTTTTTTGAGGCTTACTGTGGCTTGACGGGGGTGCCTGTTTTTTGTTTTTTGTTTTTTTCATCGTTGTTTTTGATAATTTATTTTCCTTTTTTATGTTATTTAGTTTATCTTTGTTTTATGTTTTTAACCCATCGTTGTTTTTATTATTTATTTATTTTTTTTTTTGCTTTATTTTGTGCGTGTGAGTGTACTGTGAGATGAATGGTTAATATACGGTGCGGTTGAGTCTGTTATGCCGCCCGGCTTCCGCGTTGGCTGAAGTCCATGCCTGCTGACCGTTTCCTGAACATTGTTTTCTTGTTTTCTTCTTTTTTTTCTCTCCTTTTGTGGTTGGAGCGTAGAGGGCGACTTTTGTGTTTTTGTCTGTGGAGTTCATACATTTACGGGTAGAAAATGTTGCTGGCGATCGCCCGTTGCTGCTAAACACTGAGGCCACGGGTATTCCCCCACCTCCTTGCTTTCATATGGAAGAATGACGGTGCGTCCTGCGGTGGTGGTGGTGGCGTTGGTGGGGAGGGGAAACGATGCATGTGGGAGGGGCCCGCGTTGACGCAATAAGTGGCTTTTTTTGTATTGTTTTTGCAGCCGTTTTGTGCGGTACGCGTGAATTGCGGCGATGGCGTCGGTGGGGATGAGTGGAGGCGACATGTCTCGCGGAAGGACTTTTACCCGCTTGGGGCGATTGCCCTCGCCGCTCCGCCTCTCCCCTCTCGCACGGCACAACGGCGTCGAGGACGGGGATGGCAGCGGCGAGGGCAACGATGGCGGGAATGGGCCACGAGCACAACAGACCGTCAGGCCTAAATGCCGGCCACGACGCGGTCAACGAGATTTACACAATTTTTTTTGGACGTCGGG